TCATCAGGGATTTTTCTTTAATTAAAACAAAGTAAAATGGCAGCTATAATTAAACCGGATTATTATACATTTCTTAACACGCGCCTTTAAGTCTTACTGTTCCGTTCTGAGTGTACAAGACACGGGGTTTTAAAACCTTTCGGAAATAAGAACAAAAAAGGGCAAAGCTCCAGGCAGGGGGATATTGCCGTCTGAGCCAGCGGTCCCCAGATCTCGCACTGGCTTCTTCCTTCATTAATATACGGGGGATTACTCGTCCCATGTGCACGTATATTTCGGCCTGAAGTGTTCCAAATTCCCCTGTCCGTCGTGGTTTTCACAAGCACTGTATCATCGCTTTCCCTCTGCCGATATGTTGACCCAAAACTTTGCCGCGTGTAAACCTCCATTACCCATAATGCAACAGAGAAAGTGGTTGAAAATGTAACATTGCAAAGCGGGGGATATTACACTGTAACAAATGCATTATGAATTTCACTTCTACTCTGTACTCTGGAGTCAGGAATTCGATCGACTTACAGTCACCACCACAGAAATTAAAGTCTTTATTTATTTGTTTGTTTATTGTGACACTTCAGGTTCTGACAGAGACGTGCATGAAGATGGCTGTCTTTTGACGATAATGTGTCCTGCAGTGTCAGATACTAACCGACGTTTCGGAGCTTACAACCTCGCCCTGAAGATGGAGGTAGTAAACGTCTTCGAAACAATGGTGTCTACCCACATGTCCACACAGTCATGCGACCCAGAAGACCAATATTAACCGCGTATTAAGTGTATCTAACAGACAAATCAAGAACGTACTTGCTTGTAATGTATTCGTTATTTTTAATTTATTTTTCGTTCAAGCAAAAATTTCTCATTCTGGCCCCTCGTTCAGATCGCTTAACAAGATTTAATCGACTATAAACAAACATTTATTCTTCGCCAATTACAGTTTTACCAACCGCGGATTTATTGTAATATCGATTTTCAGCATGTATCCAGTTTTGCCAACTGCGATATCGGTCTAACGTGCCCACGGTTTTTAATTCGTAAAAAAAAAAGACTGGCGATTTTCCCTCCATATTTACTGGAGTAGGGCCACAAGAGCCTACTGAATCCAGTTCGCGTCCTCATACTGTTTCTTTATTTATTCCATTTCAATATTCACCTCTCGCCTTCCTCCAGGCACTGAAAATGGCTTTAAGTGTTTTCCAAAGAAAATTTCGTGTGCATTTAGAGGTTATGAGTATTAACAGCTAACGTGGTTCCGTAACCAGCAGTTTCCTTTAAAATCCTGGTCTTCGTAAGCGCGGATTTTCAGCAACGCTGCTTCTTAGACGACAGGTTTCCATAAAAACGCGCAGACTTATTGACAATCGCTGCATCTCACCGTTGCAGTTTACTTAATCCATATTTCAGGTGCAGTATCTTAAAATACCGCTCTGAATATTCCAATATGTAATCTATGACCATTTATATATCACATTTATATCCATCTGTCACTGACGCCATTTGCAACACACCCAGATACCATGTTTATAGACAAAACATATCAATCAAAATTTGTGTGCATGTGAACAAACACTAATAATGAAGATTCATTGTTTCCACTTTTAAATTCGGTGTTTCAGAACAACTCGTTCATCCATCTCAATAAAATCATTACGATCGGTTGTTATGAACGAACACACACAAAACACAAATTATTTCTATTTGACAACGCAGTCTGCGTGTGGGAACAGTGACGAACAAAAAAAAATTCGCATGGTACAACTGTTTTGTTTATAAGTCCGGTGACGTCACAGTGCATATGAAAATTATGTTGAAGCAACCGGATGTGCCAAATTTTCTGAGGCTTTAAAATGAAACAGTGTACCGATAACTCCATACGGTGTTACATATTTTTTTAAGCACCCAAGTGGTAACATCTCTTCAAATCACCCTGTTTACCGGAAGCTCCTGATGATGTCAAAATGTCGAAACACACAGCTGAAATATCGTAATATCCACGTATCGTCCTGAAGGTGGGAACAGAGATGGCGAAGCCAACAGATTCACTTTCAAAGGTTTTATTAGAAGCCGCTCTCAAGAAGTAAATACGCAAGTTAGACTTTAAATAAATTTATATTCAATTCTGTAGTTTCGAACTGTGCATCGCCATTCTCAATTTCTGAGTCCCGTCTTCAAAGGCATCTCAGAATTTTTACGACCTGCTTCAATGTCTTGTACGCACGAGAGGTTCATGGAGTCATATCAATCTGAATTTCAGTCGTACGAATTTTACTGCGATGTTTATGAAAATCACTCAATCCATTCAAAAAGTCTTCGGATGGCACACGCACACACTGGCTTCCGTTCCCCTTTCCGGAAGCCCGGGCACAAAGCTTTGCTTGCAGAGCAAATCCCGTTACCAGAACCAAAAGCATTTGCAATTCATGAGAGCTTCAAATAACTCTTGGAATGAGGAAGAAAATTCTGTTCATTACCGTATCCTCTTGAAGACGACATGGCGTAACAAAACACACATACAGTTCAGAGTTCAATGTGTATACATAACCCTTTATTTAAAGTCCAGCTTATGTACCACGTGACATAACATTCAGTACATCTGTGTTTTACCCGCATAGTGTATTTGTATGTGTCGTATGGTTGTCCGTGTAAACAGGGATTATTCACTTAAACAGCGCTAAATAATTAATCTTTGTAATGGTGAATTGTCGTGTTTTCTTTGCGGTACGGACTGAATTCTTAAATATCATACAGACGAGCTTCGGCTTCAAAGAGCAAACTAAATTAACGAGAGATAGGACGACAATACGAAAATTAATCTAACGTAAACGGGATTTGAAGGTGTGGACTGCGTACTTTTGCCTCAGGACAGAGACCGTTGTCAGGCTGTTGTGAAGACGGTGATGAACCTTCGTGTGTCATACAAGTCATGATTTCTTGAACAGCTGAGCGCACTGATAGCTTCTCAGGCCGTAGTCATATTTGCGTCATTCGCTGCGACTGACAAACTGCCTACATCGCCTGTCCCAGGGGCCACAGCGAACGGAAAATCCCTTCCCTAGAAATGATCAACTCTGTCAGAACAGGACTGGAGCCAGTAATTGGCTTGTTTCATCCGTCTGTATCATTAAGCCCATCTCAGTAGTTGTCTGTCTGTCTGTCTGTCTGTACGTTGACAGTTGAATATGTATAAATATTCATGGTACCATTACCGGGTCGGGGTGATAATTATGTGGGTTATTGGTCCTATTAAGTAGTGTTCTAGCTGCATGGATGTCCTTAGGGTCTAATAACACGCCACTGTGTATGCAACATGTCATAAGGGTGCGCATTGTGACGTGAGCTACTCATAGAAACTACGCATAGATCTATAGCCTGTGCCGCCCACGTTCTAAATTTAACGCCAATTAATTATCAGTATTGACCCTTTGAAGCCGAAGCTCGTATAAATAACATTTAATAATTCAGTCCATACCGCAAAGAAAACACGAAACTTCACCATTACTAAGATCAACTGGTTAACGTAGTCTAAGGAAATGATCTATGTTTACGGTGACATTCTTACGATACGAATGCACACTTTATGATTGTTAAAGCAGGTAGGATACGAACCATTCACTGTTACTTTTTAAGGGCTGACAACGAAGGTAATTTACAGAATTTTACGAGCAGCTGCACGTACTAAGCACAATAGTTTAGTTTGTGTTAAACTCACGACAAAGTCTTCGACAGAGTTTCGAATTTCATTAGATTTTCACATCTTCGCAAGACACACGTATCTGAGATCCTTACATGGTTTGTAGTCAAAACATAATTAGCGAGGTTTGAGGTTCTCAAGGCTGCGAGTACAAACCTGGCTGTCTTCTAGAATGTTGCGCCACAGAGAACGTGTTTGTAAATTTTGGACCCTGTCAGATCGGGCAAGGTGTCTGCATCTGTAAAATTTCGTGCATTTCGTTGGAACGGTGTGAATAAGAAGTATTAGCCTTAGAACAGCGACGCCACGTGATCTCCCTCGGAACAGAAGACGCTGCTAAAACGAACAAAACTTGGCGCGGAGTTGGCCCACACTTTAACGGTTACCATGGCGGTCCAGAAAGAGTCTTTGAAAGGGCGGAAAGGGGAAGTGTGCTCTGCTACAAAAATTACGACGAGGGCCCCGAAGTGACAGAACGAAACCCAGGACACCGTTATCCCTCCCACTCCTCCTTTCCAATCCTTTCCTGACATTACGATCGAGTGCAGGGGTGGACATTTATTTTGCTGGCGGAGGGGAAAGACGGGGCTGTTCTGAAGCAGAGGTTC